TTGTCGCCTTTTGTGATCAGCAAACCGTCTCCAAGCCACGGTTTGAAGAATCTACAATGGAAAATAAAGAGGATTATTTTAGGTAATATTAGTAAGCAATATCTTATACATATATAATAAATGACAAAATATCCAGAATAAAATTTACACCTCTTGTTTTACATATTACTATAATAAAGCGCAATATACATTTTAGTGATTTTATTAATTATTAATTCGACATCTCACTTGTATTCCTCGGATTTGTCGATATGCGTCGAACTACTCAAGATTATTTCAATATCTCGTGGATCTGATATAAAGGCTACTGTTTTTGTACCGAAATACACGCCTCCTGTACTTCCATACTTTTCATAAAGTTCAATAGCTTTCTCTACCATTAATTCGGGAGGACATGTAAGAGGTAATAATCCATGTCCTATAATAGGTATGGATGGTGGACCTAAATGAAGAAAAGATTTGTTGTAGGATAATTTAATAAGTGAATAATAATCAATATTGATGAAGATTATTCGCTAAAAACATATTTGCCGAGTAAAAAGTTAAAATTTATTTTTTATTATTAATATATACGTATACCTGGTAGTTTCTTTATGAAACGAACTGCTCGAGAGGTTTCGATGTAATAGTACGCTGCAATTAACACTGCAACGAGCGTCAGCAGAGAAAAAGTTACGATCGACGTATAAGATGTCGTAATTGGATCCGTGTCCATTGTGATTTAAGGAAAAGTACTGTCTCGTGATAGTGACGTAGCGACTAGTGCCGATATTGAAAAAAATACAAGATTCAAAAAGAATCATAGTACTATAACAGTGCTTTAATAAAAATATTTTATTCGTTATTGACGACTAAAGAAGCCATGTTATTAATCACTTGTCAACGGTAAATGCGTCTCTAACTCGGTCGCAGTCCTGACCGATATATTTTATAAGCTGGTAGTTTAGACAAATTTACGTATATGTTACTTTTTAATTATACAATGACCTCGCAATCTTATTGCTTGCTCATTTTCATGTCTACCTATATTCATTACGCAAATAACACTATTCTACAAAATTAAACTCATTTTCAGCTTCAAAAATGAAATCAGCTAATCTTTATTAGAGGAGCGCAAGATGGCAAGGACAATTACTAAGACGAGTTTATCACAAGCAACGTTCCAAAAAATAAAGCACAAAATATATATACTTACAAAAATTATTTACAATGAATGCATAATCTCTGAATTTCAGGTTCTTGGATAGACACCGTAAAGCGGGCGCGCGCACAAAAGTTTTTACGCGAGAATTCGACTGACAGAGCGATCGAATAAGCGGTTGAAAAACGAGTGAGAATCCTGAGTTATTCGCCTGTCGCAACGAAACGTCCTTGTCGAGGGAAGGAAGGCCTTTGCTTCGTTAATTGCCTATGTTATTTCATGGTCGTTACTTGGCGAAACCTGTTTGTGACATGGGTGATTCTTTTTGTCCAATAGAACCGTGGTTGTCTCATAAAATTAACGTTTATTTGGTCAAGAGAAAGTTAGACGAACTTTACAGAACGAGTCATTTGACGAAAGACCCTTGTCATAACGATCGTAGATGATTAACGCAAAAATCATGATACATGTAATGCTCGAAGTCAATCACGGTCTCAAACAGTTAGTAAAAAATTTTAATTAGCTCTAGTTTCGATGATATATGTAAGAGATTGGAACACCCAAAAACCACTTTTTGGTCGATTATAATTTTTTATCGAAACATGACAAATAATTTAGAATTTATTAAGAAAAAATTCAAATTTTTGCAAATATAATATTTGCTTTCTTAGGATAGTTTTTAATTTTATTTGCAGGAGTTTATGTACTTGTCTGCCTGTCTACATCCAGCGCAATTTCCTAACGGATCATGTTAGTCATTCATTAATGAGATATTTTGGCAATATTGAAAAAATTAATTTTATCCTTGCTACAACTCTGAACTTTTTAAAACTATACTCCTAAAAATAAACCTTATTATGGTGAGAAATAGTAACCTATCAAGTGTCTGAATGAGATGTATATAGAATAAGTTTTTGAGGTCTCTGAATACGAATCTAATATCAAAATTGCACTTGACCCGTTAGGAAATTGCAGCGGATATAGATAGGCTGACAAGTGTACACAAACCACTGCAAATAATAAAGTTAAAAATTACCCCAGGAATGCAATTATTATATTTGCAAAAATTTGGAATTTTTTCTTGATAAAGAAGATATGAGCTTCCTTTTGAGACATTTCCGAATTATTTATCATGTTTCGTTGATAAGTTACAGTTACAGTTGATCATATATAGCTAAACAAGCGGTTTTGGAGATTTCAACTTTCAACCCTCTATATTATAGAAATTACAACTAATTAAAAATTTTTACTAACATATTCGGATTTAGTGACTCCAAATTAGTAAAGATTGGCTGATATTGTTTCCGAAGCATTTTTGTTATAGCGCAGTGTAGCATCACGCGTTCGATTTCGAGCGTAAGTTAGTTCGTCAATGTGGAAACATTGCCCCATAATTGTAAGTGCAACGCTTTTTAATAAATGACCGGAAATCGACCTGCCAACATTATAAAAGAAGCATTAGAAATGCAATAGCCGTAAGTGCAACCTTTTTAATAAACGAACGGAAATCGACCTGTCAACATTATAAAAGAAGCATTAGAAACCTGAAAAGTATAAAAAGATTTTTGTGACATATGATAAAGTAACGAAATTATTGGTATATCGTAATTATTGACGTGTCATTGTTAATTTCAATTTTAATTTTAAATTAATACAAATCGCTTTTTTGTATAATATAGCAGAATATTTATTACGGTATTATAATTAAAAACAATAAATAAAACGTATAATAAATTCAGACTATTTGAATTGCAATGTACTTGAATATAAAACATTTTCCTCATGCAAACATCAAATTATTCGGAAAGAGGTGGTGAGGACTATCATATACGCGTAAAGAGTGTGAAAGTATTATTATAATTATATTCATTGAACGAGATGTTATAAATTGTATTTAATTTGCAATGCATTTTCCGTTTTTCTTTTAATATTAAAAATCTTTATGAAGCTTTCAATAAACTTGATTAATTTTATAAGTAATTATTATAGTATAGAATGTTAAATTAAACAACGTGTGTATAATAAGTAAAATGTATTTTAAATATTTCGTAAAAAGATATATCAAGTACAAGATCGTAGAATATTTATTTTAAGCTTAATCAAGGCACTGATATTTACAAGAACGTTGATAGCACTAGTGACGATGGAAATATCGTCTACGTCCGTATATAATTTAAAGGAAGTTCTAATTCTAAAATGACACTTTCGACATTTTCATAATACTTTGATTCAACTCGAGACGAAAGAACGATCGAGTATTGTAACGCATTTGTAAGTAATATAAAATTTACAACAAAAATATATAATATTTTTTATAATCGACATCGCTCTTGTAGAAATGTATACAATAAAACCGTATTATATATTACGAAGCGTGTATTATAATAAATATAATCGCATAAATTAATATACATTCGCAACATGTTCATCGTTTCTGTTAGATGGTAAAAGAATCATGCTCATATTGTAACTATTAAATAATATTTCTATGTATTTGAGGGAGAAGGAATTGTATCTCTTGATGAATGATAATTAATTATAATAGTGACAATTAAAAACCTGTTCGCATTGCTTTATTTCACATATTTAAGGCACGTGTACATACACATTTTTCTATCACGCTGTTAAATATTCTCTTAAAAAATTCATTAAAAAATATCTAATGTTTATTTGATTGCTGCAACGTCATATATAATATAATGACGAATGACTACTTTCGTTCTTGGATAGATCGTAATATCGCAAACAAGTAGCACGACATCATGTATAGAAAAATGTAACAGTAACTCTTATACGTTAGTACCTTAAATCCGTCAAAAATTTCGAGTATAAAAAAGATATAAATATTAATATAACTTACCGCCTACGATTAGTTAAGGCACTTTTATGTACAAATTTTGATTGTGTCTCGCGCTGCATTTAAGTCGATTCACAGATTATTTCCATACAGGGTGTATCAAATACTTAACAAAGCTAAACACGAGGAAATGATAGAGGACATATAGAGTGATGCATATAAACTTTATATATATATGTATAATTTATATATATATATATATATAATATAAATACTTATTACACATAAATATTAGAATATATACACATATTTAATGTATATAACATATTAATTATTATTTATACAGTTATATATTTTTGTATATTCTGATATTTACGTAGATAATTAGAATTTTCAATGAGACTCATAGTCCATCATAAAAAATATTTGCAGGAGTATTACAGCCAATATAAAAATAATATAATTTATACAGCCAATCTAATTACGTAGTTCTCTGCATCATTTCCTCGTTGATTAACTCATTTCTATAGATACACCCTACATTATACTGTTTTTTATTATCTTAAATATATAACATGTTAAATTGTGCAATAATAAACACACGGCGTAATAAATATTTTATAAACATTGTCTATGCAAATAAGAATATCATAATTTAATCTTTCAAATCTTAAACACGTGTACTGTAAAAGTTTAATAAAATAGCGTATCAACGATCGATGATGATATTAATACAACAAGAATCATTGTTTATATTCTATAGCATGGCATTAACAGATGTTATGCGCATTTATCTCAATTTTACATTTTCGCGCAAACAGTTTCGTATAAATACAATCATGTTTATAATATAATTAAATTAATTGTACTTCTTGGGATATAAAGAGCCGAGAAAATAAGTATTTTCTTTCTGGAAGCGCAAAACGTTATTGTTAAAGAGAATTAAAATATTTTTCTCTATTGTCTAAAAAAAGAGACGATTGATTAGTACAGTCGAGAATATGGGCAACGGCACGCTAATTCATGAAATTAACGTAATTAATATGTATTGGTATGTATTGTAAATAAAATAATTTTCAAAGCTTAAAGAAGATTTAAGGTACACTGCAATGAAAATAAGCAACCGTTCATAAATATGAGGTAAGGCGACGTAATATCGAGATTTAATTTGTTTTTAATAAATCTATTCTAATTAAATAAAAATGTTAAATTAAGATACATTCTTTACATTCTGTTGATAATCCGAAAGACGAGGTATAATAATGAACAGATCTGCTCAGCGGACAAGTATTCACAACAGTAAGTACGATTTTCCAACTTTTGTTATCAACCACAATACACACACTCGTGTTTATGATATCGTGTCGATAGATTGTTGAGAGGATCTTCTCATCCAGGTCTAGTGAGATCATGCGAAATTCGATCGAGGCGTATTATATTATATATAGTAGGCTTCGAATTTTGTTGCAAATATTGATCTATCCTAATTGAAACCTGTAACTGAAAAAAATCACAAAGAAATATTAACATTCTATGTGTGTGAGGCAGGCAATTAAATGTGTAGACATTAAATTGGTATGTAAATAGAACTAATTTTGTTACACACAGAGTGGTCCATGTTCTAATTACTTTCTGTTGTGAGAATTAATTTTCACAGTTTCGTAATATTTCACATGGCTCATTCTGTGTATTTTTACGATAGAAATCGAGTCCTTTTTCTTTTATTGTGAAATTCTGCGAACGTACGAAAATTGTCTTCCTCGCGACAACCGTTACTATCCGAAATATCCACGAACCCTTGTCGAAGATTTATATCGAAAGAAAACAGTTTCCATCACAATTTCGTGATCCTGGGAGTAAGGGAGGGAAAAAAGATCCCGTCTATCCTCGAGAGATCTTTTGTCCCGTCTCGCTATTGTGTTCCGTCACTGGATCGCGCGGATCCTCGTTTAGCTGTATTGGGGAAGAATTAAATTCGGAAACGGACGGACGAAACGTCGCGGACATCCCGTAGATTCCGGATATATCGTGGGAAAAAACGCATGTACAAATAATGTGGCAAATTCTCATTTTTCTTTGGAAGAAACCATCAGGGGGCAAAGGAGGAACAGGAGGATAGTTTCGGTATGAGAAAAAAGCTGTCAGAGATCCCTGCTTTTCGTGTTACACATTGAATTAAAAAGCGCTGTAAAAAAAGTGACCTGGAATGGAAACGTATAATTAATAATAGATGCAACGCAATTTATAATCCGAATTGTGATTCTAAATATTATATTCAAAAAATAATATAAATATATAGCAGTATTATGAGTCAATTTATAACGTGATGCAATTTGAATTATCATACAAAATTGAACAGTAAATTATATAACCATTGATCTTAATGGATATCTTTTAAGAAAGGTGTTATAGGAATGTATATTGTATTAATTAAGCTATCGAGCAACGTAAATTTTATAGAGAAAAATAGCGATTTTTAATAACAAAAACAGAAATTTAAATAAATTTCGAGGAAACTCTGCATATATCGTTATCCGTTTTGAAGCGGACGGTGTCTCGTAAAGAGTTCGGTGAAGAAATATCTTTCTCTGCGTAACCGCAAAGACGCCGATAAAAAAAGTTTGAGGAAAGCGTGTATGGTATACATAAGTGGCGAGAGATAAATTAGAGAATCTGCCACGCCTGTACTTTTAAGATCCTAAGAACCGACGTGAAGTGTTCTTTGGCGAAGTATTCGTTGTCTCCCGAATCTGGAAACCCTCACTCATTCCTTCTTATCTGGCGCACGTTGATATTGCGTCTCGATAACCGAAAGAAAAGCGTATTTTTTAAACTGCAATTGAATTTCAGCTGTTAAAGAAAGTACAGAATTATCTGCATTGAAATATGCAGTTGGATATTTTCTTGATAATATTAAAAGAACTTGAACACTAGAATTTAATTAAGCTATTATTATATATAAAAATAAAAAATGATTAGATATCTAATATTTTATTAGAATATTGAAAAATTTATCGAATTATAATCATAAAAATAACAAAATATAAAAAAAATATATAATTAAATAGAAACAAAATGCCTATATTTTCGCACTAGAATTAATTTAAAAAATCGAGAATTTAGCAGTACTAAAATCGGCTCCAAACCGTCACCGTCGTTTTAAAGTTGTCGCGCTGCCATGCTGGTAATGTTTATTGATAAGATAACCAACATGCGGGTTCCACCAGCATATTGTTCGTTGGATTCTTTGTTCTACGTACTGAATGTCTGTGGAATAAGTCGAAGGCGGAAAACGACTATGACGATCGCCATAAACTTCGTCGCGTGCTTATTTCACAACACAGTTTGCGCTAATTTATTAATAGTCTCTACTTGAGTTATATATTATTTTTAAAAACTAATTTCTTTTTAAGAAAAAACAGAGAGAATATACTTTTTGATATTTTTTAATAAAATATAATAGCTAATTTCTGCTAAATACAAATATTACATTGTCATTTAAAAATTAAAAGACAAATTATTATATAAAAGAAAGGATTTATTTCTTTTTACTGTAAAATATATTAGAAGCTCGTTATATATATAAAATAGGTGATTTTCAAAATTTCTTTTTGGTTGCTGTAATCTTATATATAGTATATATGAAGAATCCGCGTAAGTACAGGAAAAGCTACTTTTCTTCTTCTGTTTTCTTTTTTTGCGTAGCGAATTTATGGACTTCTTCTGCCATCGAAGGGCCCTCAAGAAAAATTCTCACGATTACATGGTCGCAGCACGACCGTATCTCATACCATATTTAATCTCTATAATACGTTTCAATTACTAAAGCGAGACGCGGCCATTATTTACTGCAACTTTTAGCCTACGGCTCTTTCCGGCCACCCCTGCACACGCTCCTACCAAGAAACTGCCGTGTCCGACGCGACGTTACGCCACTTCGATTAATTATCTTGATTACCGTGGATTATCTCGCGCTTAATTCGCGCATAACGCATTTCCGTTATCGGTATAATATGTTATTCCAAAAAAGAGATTTAATTGGACTGACTGCGGCTCGGATGAGAGAGGACGGAGAGATCCGGGCTTTCACCTCGCGGAATAACGCGATGTTAAAACCTGGGCCTCGTGTACCCCTCGCGGTGCTGTCCCCCGCGCGAGAAGCGAATTAAATGCGAGGAAGAAAACCGGCGCAGTGGTCGCACACACCAATATAAGTAACCGGGAGCCGAGTAAGGAATTTATTAAATTAATTTGACGCGACGACGCATCTCGTAAACTTCGTAGATGACCTCACTTTATAATTGTCGAGAATTACTTGCTGGCCGCTCATTCCAGGCCCTCGCGAGCCTAAAGTCTAAAGCTCCTTTTACTCCCTGCGCTTCTTGTCGTATCGCGATATGTTTCTGTGATAACTATATTTCCACTGAGAGAAAATGTATACATGAAAAAAGCGCGGCGCGTTTGTTAAGAGAAAGATAAATGAAATTTTATGGTAAAATTTGAAAGATTCTAAAGAAATAATTAAGATAAATCCACAAATTAGGAATATTTTTGACAAACTAAAATTTCGCGTTTTATTACGTAACGTATAATTTCTTCTATTTTCTTAGAAAAAATAGAAGAATAAAATTTTCTCATGCAATAATGATGACAGAGTTAATGACTTTGAAAGCAACAATTCCGTGCGAGGCGTTTCACGGCCTATGACTCGACTTTTTTAAATCGTTATGCCGCGCATATGTCAGTGGGAGCAGCAAGTCAGCTTCCGTCGCCCATCAGTCGATCAACGTATGTGCATCCAGCGCTACATGTCGGCCTGCATGTACGGCACGTGGGCGCTACGCACGTTTCTAAGGAAACCGCGACTTCTATTTGTGGCACGGCGACTGGCACCGCCCGCCAGCTGATTTTTTTCCCCCGTCCGGAATCGAATGCATCGGTTATCGCTACACAACGGTCACCTTTCTTCCCTCTAAGAAATATACTCATTTAAAATTTACCATACAGAAATTGAAATAAGTCTTATAAAAGTCGTAAAAATATAGAAAAGAAATGTAACGAGACTCTCTGGCGAATCTTCCAAGAAATTTCATTTTCTTTATTATTGTTTAAATTTGTTTACGTTATGTGTTTTTACGCGTGTTAAATAAATTGCTTAATATAAGTGAATTTGAACGAAATTAATGAAAATGAATCTCTTCTTAACGTTGATTTTGTTTTTTAAACACTCACACAGATATTTTACAAAAATATCGGAAAGTATTTATAAGATGATTTATACATGCTTATACGGATATCGATTTAAAGTTCCTCTAACATAAGTGGATTTGAAAGAAGTAGCTCGGTCGTGAAGCGAACATGTGTCAGATATCCATGGGAATTGATGACCAGCAATTGGAAACCAAGAAGATTGAGGAAGGTCTGGTTGCGAGATATTTCAAGAAGAATATCCAACATATGGCTAGACGTTCCGCCACTTCCGTTCGTGGTTGCACGCTTTTAAGATGACACACCATGATCCACCAGCCATGTGTCCCCCAAATTGCATACTGCCGACCATTAAGGTTACGCTGACCTTCGATGCACAAATATGACAGAGAAACGAAATTTGGAATTGCAAAAGTAAATCAATTGAAACTTTTTATTGTCGAAGGAAAATCTAGGTATTTAAACATAAATTATCACTTTTTTTTTAATAATTCCGAAAATGACATTTTATAAGAAAGTTCTTTTCTTATCATCATATCTAGGGTTAAGTAAAGATAATTATAAAAATGATAAATAAGAGATTGTTAAATAGAAGGAACAACATTTTTATGCATTATTGAAGCATTATAAAAATTTGTTATCCTTTTCGATAGCAAGATATGCTCTTTAGTATAAATATTCTTTGAAGGAGAGGGGTTCACGATGCGACAAAAACGTAGGAGGGACCGTGACATCCAAGTGTCACGTCGGCACGTACTTCGCAAAGTGGTTCGATGCGTAAAGTTTATTTTCGAGCTCGACGTAGCACGTGTTCGGGACGAAGCGTCGAACACGAGTTTCCACTTGGCGGCATTTCCGCGACGCGGGTATCACGTGTGCATCCTGAACGTGTGCATCGGACACGTAACTCGCGACACCCAAACGAACACCTCTATCTTTATCACGTTCGTCTTTTTTGCGAAAAACTTGTATATCATCGATTGCGTCAAAATCGAGTAGTCTTCATTAAGTATTCGCCTTTTCATCCACTCGAGATCGACAGTAAAAAAGTAAAAGATATGTCATAATAATGTAATTTTTCATTAAATAATAATACAGTTTTTATGATAAAATAATACGATGTAATAATATTTAAAAGACCTACCTACATGGCTATCGAATTATGACCATTACTCTTGCGTTTAAAAGGGTACGCGAGTTTTTATGTAATTTATTGTTATCGGCCGGACTCCCAACTTGAACAGACAACTTGAGTTATAAACTCGTCGGAAACTTACCTATGGTTACACGTGCGTCAGCCGTTGCGTGTGTTGTTGATGGACGAGTCTTCCCTGTTCTTGTTCCCACCAGCTGACGACATCCATGAATTCTCCCGTCTCGGTGATCTCTTGCTTGTAGTAGAGGGCCCCGGCGAAGGTTTCCGGGCTGGTCGCGTAGACGGTCGTCGCACCCTCTTCGCTGTCCCCAGCACCGCTGTAGGGTGACAGAATCTGCGGCTCCAGATTCTCCTCGTTCTGAGCATAATACTCCGAGGGCGGCGAGGCCACCGAATTTGGCGATAGTCTGGAGAAATTCTGTCCACCGGTCATAGTTCGCGGTTCCAAGTTTTCTTCATCGCCTGCCGAGGATGCGTAGTAGTCACGTGGGGATGGAATAGCTGTCCGATTGGGGGATAATCTGTGAGAAAAAGAAATAAAATTAATATGTTTAAAGAAAAGCATGCTTTTAGCTCTTTCTACTCAAGCGCTTTAATTACATTATTAAGTTATATTTAATGTGATCATCCATATAATTATTTTATAAAGATATAAGTAAATAAAATAGAAGCGCACGTCTTTCTCCAAATTTCTGTCTTCTTTCAATTGTTTCATCTTAACATTCAAAATTTACCTGGATAATGTAATTTTCGATTTGGTAGCACTTTCATCTTCTTCTTCATCCACATGTTCCCCCTCGTTGTCTTCCGCGGCTAGTACATCATCCTCGAGAACAAGTCTCTCGCCAGAGCCATTGTGAGTCGAAGAGATGACGCTGCTGGTCGGAGAAGGCGCGCATTGTACACCGACAGCAGTCTTGGAATCATATTCCACGCCATCGGCTTCGGCCAGGAGCCTCTGAAGGCCTCTGATGTACTCCACTGCCATCCTGAGAGTCTCTACCTTCGACAACTTTTTACCCCTGTCACCATAACCCGCGGCAATGTGGCTCGGAATGTGTTGTCGCAATGTGGCAAATCCATTGTTCACTTGTTTCACGCGATTCCTCTCCCTGGCATTTCTTCGAGCAACAGCAACAGGCGGTGGTTGTCCATTCTTGCCGTGCTTCTTCAATCTGGAGGGATCGTACGGGGGTAACACTGTCGTGGAATTTGTTGCGTTACTGCTGGTGTTGTTTTTCGGGACTATCAACGTTGGTTGATTACCGATGATATTGTTCTCGTTATCTTGTAACGTTCGCAGCAACATCAATTGTTCTTGATCGTTGCCGTTTATCTGTACTCTATTGCAAAACACCGTTACCCCCATGGTCGCCATTGTGCTCGTTTCAACGAGTTCTTTTCGGTGACACGAATCAACGTAAGGCCTTAGAATGTGTGAACTATCAGCGAAGTCGACCGCGATATTGTTCCAAGCTGAAAAAGTTAATTCCTTTCGTAAAGTTTAACGTTGTAAGTAATTTTTTTAAGTGATTTATCGAATGTTATCTTTATCGTTTTTATTAAATAATAAATAAATCTAATGAGAATAATTAATGTAATGGAAATGGAATATAATTAATAACAAATTTTACACCTACGTTAAAAATTATATAGTATCGCGATAAATTATGGATTCCACGAACTATTGTGCTTTGAATATTGTACCGCGTAATTTCCACAATAATGTTGATTAAACGAGTTGCGTTAGGAGACACAGCGGTCGATAAACGACACTAATGCTTGTCGAGGACGAATCTAATTGCTGAGCTTATAAATAAAACGTGTCCTCTTCTCGGAGACAAAGGCGATTATCGACGTAGACCGTTCGACGACGCTACGATTGGGTATCAATTCAAATCTGGGTCAGACCCTTTTCGTGTTCGCAAAAAAGCATTATAAATATTTTATATGAAGACATAACACTTTCAAATTGTGATTAATGAGATATTCTTAAATGTTTATTTGTAAAGAAATAGTATATTATACATCTAATTTTCTATCTTATATATACTTTTATTCTTCCCGAAAGCTGACGATTCGAGATAAAAATGCGTGAATTTTTACTGTAGTCTTTTACAAGAGCTTATAGCTTCTTCCTTTACTAACTCATGAAGCTGATGACCCAAACCGAGATCTAATTGTCTCGCTGCCGGTCGCCACAGCTTAAGTAAAGCATGAGGTCACCGTCTATTCTTCTCCACGACGCGACGGTCGTCGACTCCTCGGAAACTATTATCGAGATCTTTCAAAACAAATCTGTCTTAACGCACGTTATCAGTATATTTTGATGGAAAATTTATTTCCATCTAATATCAAATATTATAAATTTCGTTCTGTGCACATATCGTTCGCTTACGACTGAGCACTCGCCGAATCATTGCGGTTTAATTTAAATTAATTTAATTTTTTAATAAAATTGAATTAAAACAGTGGGTCCAATTATAAAATTTATTTATAATTTTAATTTACTTTTAATTGAAAATAATTTACTTGTGCAGTACGAGTTACTGCTGTTATTGTGCCAATTGCTATTAAGCGCACTATAAAAGACGTTATATTTTTAAAGCGATATGGCTACTCAGTTGAATACTTACCGAAGATCAAGGTGACGCTTGATGAAAATACTCTCTAATGTTTGCCATGAACACAAATCGTTTGACGATTTCATACACAACACACGTTTGATCATCAAATGTTTATACAGATGAATAATAACAGTCGTTATGAAATAGGAAACTGAAGAGAGAGAAAAATTGGAGACATTTAGATTTTGATATTTTATCCGTTCATGTGTCTCTCATTGATATTTTTTCGCGCAATGTTATCGATTAGCGCACTTTTCTTCTTTATTAGAACGTTGATCGATGTACTGCATGTTGCACTTACGATGGACACAAATATTGAATTACAATCCAGCTTTCGACCTCGAAATCGCAGTAGTCACTATGTCATCCACTGTAAATTGTTGAACACACCGTAGACATTCAAATAATTAGAGATCAATATTGATCTAATGTTCCCAAACAAACAGTATATAGCTCCGTAATTTGTGTTTGAATTATTTTGGCACGGTGTAATATTAATGTAGATTTGTCAGGATCGATCTGTTTTGTATTTTAAGTCGCCGGCACACACGAAACACATTTAACACGTATTTTTTTTCTATAAAAAGACATTTTTGATGTCCAATATATACGAGAAGAAGATTCTCTTGAAACTTCAACTACACGCACTCAAGTAATCCGTTCGATTGAAAATCTTCATTCATCACTACTCTTCACTCTTCACTTACGACGATCCACATGGATCGTGTGGCGAACAATCTGGTCCACGTTGATTTACGAAACGGAGCGGTAACGGAACGGAAATATCGAGGGTGCCCTTAAGAGTACAAAGACCCCTGGGACTAGCTGGAAGCTCGCGTTTACCGTCGCTGGAAGGGAGATCTTCACGATCGCGTATCACCAGCACCTCTGTTCGCCGATCATGCCTCCGTGGTATGCACTACATGGCGTCCGCTTCGAGAATGAGCGCGGACATCGATAGATGGGTTACGTTTCAGCATTTTGCCGTGCCGCGCCGAGTTGAATCGCGGGGTTGGAGCGAGAAGGGAGAAGGGCGCCCGTGCGCGAGAGGGAGCGAAAGTTGTGAAAGGGAAGAGAGGAAGAGAGAGAGAAAGAAATGGTGGGGATTTTCAGCACGCGCCGCAGCCCCTCGTTTCTTCTCCCCCGGAACTGAAAAAGGGGGACCGTGCGCGCCATATGCCCGGGTAGAGAGAGAGCGTGTGCCGGTTGTGCCACTACGTGTGTGGGTCTACGGCCCAGCAATAAATGCGTGGCGCACATTGGTGCGTGCGTACGTGCGTGCGAACGTGCGTGCGTGCGTACGTACCTTGCCCGCAATTACTGCTTCTTGTATCGGCCGTAGAAGACTATACGAAAGACAAAGTGATCTTGGTAATCTAATGTGTAATTGAACGGCGGTCGATACGCGATTAAAGGGATCTGTATTATTATGTACTTTAGCCCTTATTGGCCTACGATGATACACGTGCCGACGGCGAAGTAATATTATTATTATGTAGTCATGTTTATATTGTTAGTCTACTTAGCGCCTGTCTCTACCCGGCATGTCCTATCCTACTTGCATACAATATGTTATGCTAGAAGTTCGTCATCTAGAGGCATTAAGTTGCCTATGCATTTTAATCAATATCATTATTATATAGAATTTTTTTTAATTTCAGAATATTTTCGTGGCCAATATAGAATATATATACTTGATTTTATCACAACTATTACTTATTTAATAAAGAACTACTTTTGTTGGAATATTGCGAACTTCATAATAGTGATCAAAGATTATATAATGGATATGTGTATCAAACAAATGCAATTCGTTCTTGTATTTCTATTTTTTACGGTCAGATTTTAATTTTCACTTTGTAAGTACGGCATAGAATGTAACATGAGAAAAATACTCCATAAATTTTGTATATTATGATAGCACTTGAGAGACGAAATAATAAGACTTTAATGTAGCTTTTAGTGACTTCGTACACTTTTACTTGCAAATAGTATTGAACTGCATCTCAAATCTTTCAACTGTATAAAAAAAATTTTTGAAAAAAAAATAATTCAATTCCACCTGGCATATTTCCTACTGCGGCAAAAGACAGGAAGAAGCACACTCGCTCGTCGCGCCGCGGAAGTTTCGTGTTTCGGGGCGTACCGCTCGTGAGAACGACATACCAAATGCGAAATATAATTTTTGTTCGGGAAAATAAAAAAGACCGGTTCTAAAATTGTCTACTGGCGGACATATCGTTATTTAAAAGCTTCATGCTTTATTTCATAAAAAAATTGTCTCAAGACTTTGTTTTATTAGCAATTATTTTTAAAGGTATCTACTTGTCTTAAAATAAAAAGATAGAAAAAAAGTGAGAGAAATTGGTTCGAAACGCCTAAAGATTCATATTAAATAATCAGGAATTGCTGTAGTTGCAAAATGGTGATTGAGTTGAATATTGAATTAGAGCGTACCTAACTGTAATTTTTATGCGCATACGTAAATTATAATTTAGAAAGCAACCGCGATAAAAAGCTTTTCATGCCGGGGGCTGTGCTGATTATGCCTAAGGGATCGGAGGGTTCAGTAGGATTCGACCTAGATCTAGTCTGCATTTGTGCACCCAAACCTGAGAGCCCCTAAACCGACCGTACGATTAAAACGGAGGCCCGAATTTATAATATAATACATTATGTAAACTGGGGCTGTGTGCCTACAAAACCTCGTGCGCAGAATTTTAATTTTAGATTTGCAAAGCGATAATATTATTTATTAAAATGCGATAAATGTCTAGAGTCCAAGATATTTATGTCTCATAAATCTGAATTGATATTTTATTGATAATCAGTAGTTCTCAGTTAGCAGTTTTTATGGTATAGCAGGACGAAATGAACACTGACTTTCCGTTCCATAACAGCTGGGAAAAATCTGTTTATAGGAATAACGCGTATGGTGCTGTCGTTTTCCCATATGCGAGAAAAATCCTCTCCTTCCGTAAGGGGATTAACGCAATTCGTGCGCGAACGGTTTTCACGTGACACCGATTAGTCCTTAGCGGTTAAGACGATGATTTATGAAATCTTTCTCGAGGATGATGCTTTCTCTTCTCGCTTCCTCATTATTTTCATTGAAAACGGGAAAGGATCAATCCTTACATATGATACTCGTTAACGACGATGGGATATTTCCTTCTCGAGTAAATTGATGGAGGCCGGCCATTCGATGCGGGTTTGCTTTTCGCGTAACGCACAATTGAGAATTTATATGACGTGGTATATAAGAAAAATACGTGTAAAGACGTCACGCAAGGAATATAAAACGGCACATATGTGCACATATGTGCATACATGTTCGTTGTTGCACGACCGCAGCTCCTAAGCGTCGTGTCTTATCGCGCGTTAAATGTGCGTAATTCAGCGATTATCATTGCGAGAGTAACATATATCGAACGCTTGCCATTTAAAACCGATGTCAAACCAGGTGGAGTCCGAAATCGCGGTACCTACCGTGCCCCATAAAGTCCCCGGATATGTTGATCCGGTAGTTGCGCGCAAACAGACTCAAATATTTTCAAAGGCGTATACGCGGCCTCGGCGAAGCCGAGCTTTTTGCGTGCGCGCGAGAAGAGGGAAAAACGTGCACGTCGGAGCACAAAGTGATCTGATCCTGATTTACGTATCCAGACGAGGCGGCGCGATCGTAATATCCCCCGATCGGCCTCGTTCCCGCCACGGCACTCCGTATATCACGGAGTTTCGGTATTATCGAGCGGCGCATCGATGCCGCTCGCGACCGTCCGACTGATAAGTTTACAGGCTCATCCGGGGGCATTATGCGTCGGAGAAGATTCTCCAACAATGGGAGACTCGGTGGGGCCCCACGGCGGTCCCCCGGTTCTCGCGCATAATCCCCACGAGCACTTCTCTCTCGTGGGATTCCGCCGAGGCGTGCGCCCCCTCGGTGCCCCTCGGTGCCCCTCGGCACCGGGAGATTAAAGTTCCTCTCGCGAGGGTCGCCGCTCTATATATTTCGTTATAAATTCGGCTGCGATTCTCGTTCACCGTGGCTTATAGTATTGGCAGTGCCGGTCGCGCTCTATATGGACGTGAGCGTGGCACCATTCCCGACAGTCCCCCGCTAATTTCCCGTATTTATTGTTAAAGGGATAACCGTCGAGGTTATTGATGACCGTATTATTGTGACAATGCGATGCCTATTTGATCACATTGCCGTGGCGGAACGTAAGCTCTTTCGTCTTGCACGCAACATACGGCGCGCGCACCCTTTAAATTTACATTTCATTTAAATTCGAATGTTTCGAATCTATATATTTTCGCTTTTAAAGATCTCGCCGTTCTCTTGCTGAACACTATCATAAAGATTCGTAGTAACGAAATAAACGTTATTGACTATATTTAAGTATTGATCGTGAAGTGCTAGCTTCGTTGTAGGTTCGTTCGTATTGACGATCGTCACCGCCTGGCACGAACATGACTCGTTCTTCCGGTGCGACGGGGTGGAGTAATAAGTCCCTCGACTCACGATTATCGGTCAAGTCATGCCAGCACGAGCGCAAGTTCAACGTGTAAAATTCGTCGTGCAGCCTGATGCGCCGCGGGGGCCCACGTGCTTAAAAAGCGCTAATAACACGACGAGTGCTTCAGACTTCGTCTGCGTTAAGCGGCCGAAGCGGTCGACAGCCGCGGCAGAAAGCAAGAGGCAAGAGGGATGGAATGAGAAGGAGAGGTGGTGGTGGTGACGGGGAAGTAGGGAGTAAAACGAGGCAGAAAGGGGGTGGATCAGTGCGGGCCCTTTGTCACGACGCGTGCCCCTGCACGTGTGCACGACCAATGCCTACGCACTTCTGTTACGCACCATGCTTCGTTGCAGGGGCGGATTTCGAAGCGATAAATTCGAACGGCGCGACAGTGCTTCGGAGGAATGAGTTGCACTTCCGTTCTGCCTGCAATTTAATTATTATCGTGCGGTCGAATTAATCGAAAGTGAATACAAATTTTTGCTTTCATTTAAAAAAGTCTATGAAATCACAATGTAACAATAACATCTAAATTTATTATTAATATTATCTTTAAATAATAAAATCTAATCATAACAAGAAAAACACTATTTAAGAATATTTTAACTAATTGTAAGGATAGATCTAATTAATTACATTAAAAGATATTTTAGCCAAAAAAAATTTCAATTGTAATTTAGGGGATGTGCATTGGATAGAAGCAAGGAAGAAATTGCGATATCATCGTGTTGTTTTCATGACACGCAAGATATATTACGTGAAATAGTCGATTCCTTGTTTCTCGCCCCGACCCTGATTCGAGGCGCACTTACGCTCCGCTATACAACTCGTCCTACGTGCCTACGTAGGTGCGTTCTATTCAACTACGAAAGGTAATTCTACTCCCCTTTTCTCTATCGGGCCCACCCTGCCACGGGCTGAGCTTTACAATGTGCAAAATTATACGATCAGGCTGCTCGATCTACTCTCCCCCTCTCCTGCGTTTCACGCTGACTTTGCTTGAATTTGTCGATTGTAAACGATACTCGTGCGTTTTGTGCAACATAACACGAAAATTTTTTGCATCAAATTGTATAACGGCGAACACACGACCTTTTCGTCAAAGAAGTGGCATTAAAATGACGTAATGATGAATGTATCAATTGTAAGAAAGACATTTTCATTATTAAATATGTACTTGTTATAAAAATAAAAAAGTCTGAGTATTATTATAATTAAGTGCAGAATTTTTCATCAATTTCACCCTGTAAAGACAATAAAGATCCTTATTATACTTATTGATTCAAATATTATGCTTCTGTGACATATTAAAATATTTTTTCCTATTATTAATCAATTGCATATAAAAATCTAATTTTATTTGAATCAAAGACGTGCTTGTCAATGTTAATTACATTACGTCATGTAAATGTTTCTGAATTATACGGAAATTAAAATAGTTAATTGCTTTATTGATTCTGTCACCTTCACGCGATTACTAAATCTTCAGAGTACGGAAACAGTCTGCAGTTGTCTGGATTATCTCAACTTTTAATAGTGCAAGAAGAGAACTGTCTTCCAAATATTCGCGCGATCTCTTAGCGGTACCTTTGCGCTTCAAGATAACAAAAGTAAAAAAA